ATACATGGCCCAAACCACGCAGGGACATCCTGGGGCTGCAGAGAAGCTGCTGCTCTGCACCACAGCAGGGATGTCCCAATACATTCTTTTAGCACTAGCTGCAGCAGATTATTTTTAAGGACCACACTTGGGCCTCTGGTTTGCAAATGCCACCTGCTCTTTCCAGCCAACTGCACTGACAACTTGTTTTAAGTACTTTGTCAATAAAACAACCTTTTCAACTCACCCTCTGGTCAGCAGATCCTGTGAGCACAGGTACAGACAGTGAAGGGGCTGCAGGGTCACACAGCCCCCCCAGCATCACCCACCCTCCATCCCATGGGATGGGGAAGAGACAAGGAGAACAACATTAAAAATATATATATATCTTTCTCTTAAGAAAAAAAAATCTAACAAATATATCTGATATTAGAATCTCTTTTAAAAAGCCAAATGAATTGCTCCTGCTCAAGCTGGCAGTATTGCTTTGCTAAAGAAGGGAGCTGCTCCTCCTCCTCTCCAAACTGACTCCCTGTGCTCACAAACATCACACTATGCTGCTCTCCAGCAAGGCACAGCCACAAGGCCATTGGGATGGGTGCAGGGACCCTGGTACAACCCCCTCCCCATCCCCCCACTGTCCTCTTCAGCCTTTTTTTGGTTTGTCTGCTTGTTTGGCACTTTCAGGGTGAAGATCCCTGTAGAAACAAAGGCCTTGGGCTTCAGTCTGTGAAGTGCCCATGGTGGCTTTAAGGCAAAGGCGGATCTTTTGGCTGATCTCTTCCAAGATCATGATTGTCAGAACAGGGAAATGAAGCTGGTGCAGCACCACACACAGTCCAGGGTAAGAGCAGCCACATACATCTACCCTGTGGCCTTGAAAACCCCAAGAGTCACCCACGATTTCCCACAGGTGCAGGGATGGGCTGTGAAAGCACAGGGGTGAGGAGGGGCTTTGGCAGCAGGACCCCCTCTGTAAGGCTGGGACACAGGGATAAGTCAGGGTGTGCTGAGCACCAGCACAATGTCCATCTGTGTGAGCAGGTGATGGGGTGGCCCTGAAGGATCTGACCCTTCTGGATCACTGCTCTTCCCACCACCACCGTGATGGTGCCTTGGGCTTGGCCAAAGGCTTTATCAGCAGAGTGTGGCTGGGCCACACTCTGAATATACACAGCCAAGAAAATAAAAAACTGTTAAAATTAAAAAAATAGAGTGTCGAGGCTTCAGGTTTCATCCCTGGGCAGCTGCGCTGGAGTGGGCACTGCCTCCACCCACGGCGGTTCCTGGGGGGACCAGCACCCCTCCTCTGCCTCAGCAAGGGCTTCCTCATCATCCTCATCTCCTCTGGTTTGGCTCCAGGAGAGGTTTCAGGGCTGGCAGGACTCAGTAGGGGGTTGTGCCTTCCCACTCCACCAGATACTGCACCTTCCCCTCCA